CTCAATGCATGGGTTTGGGTAGACTCCAGCAGTTTGGTGATGGACAGGGAGGCCTGGCATGCTGCGGTTCATGGGGTTGCAAAGAGTCGGACACGACTGAGCAACTGAACTGAACTGCAGGATAGAGTGCTAATAAGTACTTTGTAGACATTATCTTGTTTAACCTGTACACATCTGAGGTAGATGTTACTACCATATTACATGTAAGGAAATCAAGACTTCAGATCACTAGGTAACTTGCCCAGGACTCTACAACTAGTCAATAGTGGAGCCAGGATTTAAAGCGGGGTCTTCTACCTCTATAACCCATGCTCTTAACCCTACCAGAGGGCTTCATGTGCCCTGGCTCTCCTCCCTGCTCATGAGGGAGCTGTTCTTCTCAGATCTATACCTGGAATGAGGTGGCCTCTTAACTGCTTGCTCAAGTAAGACATGAGTATCTTCTGCTCTGTCACCTACAAATTGGCACTTGCCATCTACCTCTACAAGGATCAAAGTATGAGCTGCTGCAGCTGCTGTCTTTCAGCACCCCCTGAAAGTTCAGGTGAAGATCAGCAGTGAGGAACTGTACTCTGGGAAAAACTGGCAGAACAGGTTTCAGATAATTAGATATTTTCAGAAGATTTTATGAGCCCAATTCTTACATCTCCTTATATCTAGAAAAGCATTAAAGCCCTTCATGATGACATCTGCTCATCGTGACTAGCAGTGACCTTCACAACACTAGCAGCAATATGCTGTGAAACATATGTGCTTGATTGCATGTAATTCCCCTTCACCAAAATCACATATATACTGACCATCTCCTCTACCTGTTTGGAGCAGTTTCTCAGAGCTATTTGAGACACTGTCTCCTGGGCTATAGTCCTCATTCTGCCCCTAAATAAAACTTAAACTCTCATGTTTTATTTGTGCCTTTTCCCCCCAATTGACAGCTCTTAGTCTGGCTTTTCTAAAGTCAAAGACAAATGTCTGTTGTGTGACTGCTGTGTAATCTCCAGCATTTGCTAAAATCTGAGGCTGCCACTCTCCACCCATTTACAAGGCTTTCTCTGGAGTGACTGTATATCCAAGAGTGCGAAGTCGCCCTTTCTCTTGAACCTGAAGTTGTACCAAAAATTTAATCCTGTAGTCTCTAAAAAGGAGAGGAATCCTGAGGACTGGGCATATGTCTCTAGCTGGCTCAGATACTTTCTGCGCAATAAGGTTTGATATTCTAGATGGCCTGCATGAGAGGTAGTGACTGAGTGGAGGCTTTTTCCTTTTACTGACTCTGCAGGTAATCTGGGTCAATAAGTCAATGATTGACCCTAGTGTTAGTATATATTCCCAATGGACGTTGGCACAGGGTTTCCTCTTTCGTTATTAGTACTGTTGTCTCTTTGTGGATACTTTACATGAAGCTGGGAAAAGATAAAATCCAAGACTGCTAAGCTGTGGCCACATTTACTTGCGTGCATTCGTGCTGTCAGTCAGTCATGTCCGACTCTTCTGTGACCCCATAGGCTGCAGCCTGCCAAACCCCTCTGTCCATGGAATTTTCCAGGCAAGAATGCTGGAGTGGGTTGCCATTCCTTTCTCAAGGGGGTCTTCCCAACCCAAGGACTGAACCCATGTCTCCTGCACTGACAGGTGCATTCTTTCCAACTGAGCCACCTGGAAAGCCCACTGCCACATTTAACACAGGCTTACTGTGCATCTATATCAGGCAATCAGTCTGGGGTCAGTGTTAGACTCCCTCTTAAAGAACATACATGGACTGTTCCCATCAATACCTATTGATCATTGACACGGGCCAAAGTGGATTTAGATTTCTTCCTATGATACATTTCCTAGACTCCTTCCTTGGCTGGAGGAAGCTCCTGCAATACAAGCTATTCCTTAGCCCTATGGATTAGCAAAATTGTCCTATGACAGTTTTAAATGACACTTAAAAAAAAAAAATCACTGGACCAAAGGAAAAGGTAGCATTGGAAAAAGAACTAAGGATTGAGCTGAGGTGTTTTCCTGTCTGTGAGACATGGTTGAAGAAGCTGAAAGAGCCAGGTCAAAGTGACCTCCTGTTCTTGAGTTATCTCGTGCAGAAAAAAAGCTTTTACATTGTGAATTGTGGAGGCCCCTTGGCATATATAGGATTTCTTGCCTCTGTAAAGCTGAGCTAAGGACATTATAAAATGCTACCTGATTTTTCTTCCCCTTTCTGATGCATTCAGGTTATTTTGTACTTCTCTGGCCAAAGCTACTTTGGATAGCAGGAGCGAACAAATGCATTGAAATGTTGTGTGTCGTTGGCAACCTCAAGCTACACTAGGTGTCCCTCATTTGTGTCCCTAGGTCACCTTTTGTGGTGGTCAGCTTTGCGTCAACGTGTCATACTTTATGTGTTTTAAGTAGACTGCCCTCCATGATGCAGGCACACCTCATGCAATCAGTTGAAAGCCATATGAACAAAAATTGAGGTTTCCTAGAGAAAAAATTCTGCCTTAGTACTGCGATATAGAAACTCATCAGGCCCCAGAATTGTATGAGAAAATTCCTTAAAATAAATCTATCTATCTATCTATACACACATTTTACTCCATGTGTTTTACTCAGCTCTCATCTCTACTCCATTCTAAGCTCAAGAATGTGGACTATGTCTTATATCTTTGTATCCTCAAATTCCAGCACAGTGCCTTCTAAACTCAATGTATTCAATATTTTGAGATAATAGAATAATCCCTTCATAAAAGACTTGAATCAGAAGGTAAGTGACAACTGAGGCAAAGATGATTAACAGGGTCAGAACTAAGAATCTAGGGCAAAATGAGACTGGAGCACAGGCAGCCCAACACTTGCAGTAACCAGGGTTATAAGCCGGAATGCCAAAGGCCTGGAAATTAAATGAGTTTAATTTCAGCCCACCAACATAATGTCAGCTCAGCTTTATTCTACTAATCATGTGAGCACTGGCATGACAGTTCACCTTCTTAGGCTCAGGGTGGCTGATCTGTTTGATCTTTTAATACACATATTATATGATTCTAAGCAAATACGATTCTAAGGTCAAAGCAAATGAACAGAAATTCAGATGGTTAAAACATGAAATAATGCTTGTTGATTCTACAGGTTATTCCCTACTGTGTATCAGGGACAGCACTGGTGGCTGGGGTGGTAGCCCTGGGACTATAAGCAGTAACAGTGCCGTGAAAATAGTTTGCTGAAAACTCAGGCAAGGACAGAACTAGAATGACAAGGAGATGTATACAGGAAATATGTCCAATGTTATATAGTCACAAATATGGTAGTTAATGCATAAAATTTGACTAGTTTTTTCTTTGAAATAAACTGAACTGTATCAATGAATTGTGCAGTGTTAAGTTAGCAGTATGCTTTAGCTTATTCTATAGATGAGGCAAATGTGAAAACAGATTAAGCTGACTTTTACAAAATAATTATTTCTTTATCTTTTTGAATGGGAAGAAATCTTCCATTTTGAAATGTATATAAAATGCTAGTCTCTAGATTCATAACATTGCTTTTTAAGCAACTTTTTCAAATGTTATTTTACTCTATAAGACTAATGTAAAAGAAATAATAAATAAACTTGGAAAATACAAAATAGTAAAAACACTTCCGCAGGGCACATGACCCAGAAGCCAATGACGGCCCTGAATTATAAAAGTTAGCAGTGCTTTCTGTTCACTATGAAAGCAGGATTCCCTGTTCAAACTAGAAATTGTTATTCAACAGAACAAATCAGGTCAAGAGAACCAACCATACAACAACAGACAGGAGGCTTTGTTCACATAAAGAAAAACAAGAACAAAACTAACAATCAAACCTCATTTCCTGAGACATAACGTTAATGGCTTCCCTAGTGGCTCAGATGGTAAAGAATCCACCACTGATGCAGGAGACCTGGGTTCGATTCCTGGTCAGGATGATCCCCTGGAGAAGTAAATGGCAACCCACTCCAATATTAATGCCTCGGAAATCCCATGGAGAGAGGATCCTGGTGGGCTAAGTCCATGAGGTTGCAAAGAGCTGGACATGACTGAACGACTAACATATGTAATATTGATGGCAAGATTTCCAGGTAATTATCCTTTTATTTAGTTCAGATAAAGACTTCTAACACAGAACACTGTTAGGAAGTAACCTTAGTTTGGTGCTATATAAAACTGATATAAGGCAAGTACTACATGTAAGATAAACTAGAAAACCACCATTTTTAACTGCCTCTAGAATTTATTGCAATTACCACATTATAATAACAAAAGCAGATCATTCTTAATGCATCTAATTTGACTAATTTAAATAAAAATATATGATCCCAATCACACAAAGAGATAATTCTAAATTTATCTTTGAAGTTGAATCAATCAATACATATCTATTTGGAAACTATGCACCCAGTATCATTATAGCAGAGAGAAAGCTGCTGTTCTCAAAGAACATGTGGCTCATTAACCTAGTGAATATCTTAAAATATTGGGAATATTGGAAAAATAACAAATTTCTCTGGACACTGTTTATCTTGCCTTTCTGAGAGACTTGTAGATTTAGATGAGATTAGTTTGGCCAAGGGGTCTCATTTATTCCAGAGAATCATCAGAGTCCAATATAGTTCTGGGCTAATAAGAGATTAAAGAACCTTTATAAGGAGAAGTAGGCTTGGAAATCAAGCAGTCCTATTTTGAATTAGTATGTTTTAGTCAAAGGTATGGATTAATGATGAGTATCGGTTAGGAATTTCTGTAATGTCCTCCAATGCCAAGTGACCACTAACATCCTATTTCCTACTACAATGATTCCTTGATGAGAAGTAGAAGGCATAAAGAAAGTTGCCAGCTATAAAATAAACAGTACTTCAATGCTTATGATCACTAAAGACAAACCTTTTTTTTAAATGTTAAGAAACTCACTGAATCAAATGAATGCTAAGTAGAGCAAACACAGTGTATATAAAACTGAGATATGAAACCTCTAATTACACAAGAAATCAATGGAAGGATTGATCATTTTAAGAGAAGAATCATTTTTCCAATAGCTCCACTGCTATGAATGATATTTTCATGAGCCTGGGTAGCCTTCTCCAGTAGATACTGGTGACCTATTACTGGTTTCAACCAACCAATTTCCATTCCAGCTTGAAGGGCTGCTGCAAACTGCTGAAATTCCTCCTGAGGGAAAGAAAACATCTTTTTCAATAGAGGAACACATGACAATTTTCAGAAGCATTAACATTTTTCAGAGTCTAAGAAAGCATTAAGAGTTTTCTCATAGATGTGTGGCTTTTGTCAACTTGTCCAGAACTATAAAAAAGTAGTTTCCTATAGGTTAGCCAACACTGCAATTTGTCTGTGGCAGTCTCAGTTTACAAAATACCTATTATTATGGAATAATTAGTAATTACCAACAGTATCTCCTCTCTCCTTCATAAGTGCCCTGGCCTGGAAAATAAATTATATTGTCACCCTAGTTATCTTCCAGGGATTAATCCTTAACCCACTTAGATAACTAACCTTAACATCTACTTAAATTTTCAGTCTGCCTGGGTAGGCAAATTACACCAATATTTAAGTTAACAGAATCACTTTTCTACCTTGGTGGATGAAAACAGAGTAACTCCTTTTATGCTAGATTCCTTTGTCATGGTGTCCCGTGGGTTTATTTCAATAGCGCCTCTGCTGCCAACAACCTAGTAGGAAAAACAACATGTGTGTAGTTAAAGATTACTGCAAAATAGTGTTAAATTATGAAAAAACTGCAAAGTGATGGAAAAAAAGTGAAATACTTACTATTACTCGTCCTCCACGTGACAAAAGATTCAAATCATTACTAAGATTTACATTAGCTAACATTTCAATAATCACATCAACTCCTTTTTCACCAACAGATTTCTATATAATATAAAAGAATGCAGAGTAGATTAGGAAAAAAAAGATTATCATAGTGCCATATATTACAGAAATATATTTCAAATAACATAAAATGCTATATTTTTAAAGAGTAATAATGCCAATTTTAATACAATTTAATTATACAGTGATGCTGTAATTCCAAGGTACCAGCCACATCTAAAATGACAGATTTGTATTAAATAAATTGCTATAATGAAATAAAATTTGTCCAAAATTTTCATGTACTTAGACTCAACTTGACTATAAAGTACTTTTTCCTTAGGTGAAAATTTTCTGTCTTCAAAATGTATTTTAATAGAGGAAGAAGCAACAAATCAAAAACTGCATTGGGGCTCCCATTTTTTATTAAAAAACACACAAAAGAAAAAAATACTGACTTTTGATATTGCAGTATTCTGTGTGTGTGTATGTGTGTGAGTACACGTTTAGTTGTGTTCTCAGTGGTCTACAATCAGCTTGGCACACTACTCCTTTTCTTGTGGGCTTTCTGATGTCAATTCTCAACATCTAAAACCAGCTCTTAAATAAGCTAAGCTATACATTTCCATTTTAAGAAAAAAATGAACACCTACGCCCAGCACTGTGTGAGGTATTATGAATGTCAGGATGGACATAGAGAACCCAAAATAAAGAGGAAAATGAAAAACACTACAATTAAAGGTGTGATGTGATGGGCTAAGTACTGCATTGAAAGTGAAAGTGAAGTCACGTCTGACTCTTTGCGACCCTATGGACTGTAGCCTACCAGGTTCCTCTGTCCATGGGATTATCCAGGCAAGAGTACTGGAGTGGGCTGCCATTTCCTTCTCCAGGGGATCTTCCCAACCCAGGGACTGAACCCAGGTCTCCTGCATTGCAGACAGACGCTTTACCATCTGAGTCACCAGGAAACAAACCATAGGTTATAGAGGGGGTAAAAAGTTACAGTGCTGATCACCTGTAAAGGTCAAAGAAAATTCCACAGAGATGATGACCTCGGCCCTGAGGGATAAGTAGGAGTTCTTAAGTAGAACAGAAGGAATAAGGGGCACGCAGACATGAGGCAATCAGTCTGGACAAAAGAAACAGAAGAGCAAAGATGTAGGGATGGAGAGTAAAAGCTGGAATTGGAAAGTGGCCCAGCAGAGCTGGAGTATGCATTTGTGAAGGAGATGGGGCGGGGGTGGGAGGGGAGAGGTAGGAGCTAAGAGACTGCAAATTGGTTCAGACTCTGAAAATACATCAAATGCCACATTAAAAGACTTGGACTTTGTGGGGACAGATGTTCATTAGTTAATTCTTGTGCCAGGCACTGTTTTAGGCACTGGAAGTACAGGAGGGAACAAGAAAACAGAAATTCCTATTCTCATGGAGCTCTCATTTATTTCTGAGGATTTTTTTTTTTCTTTCTTTGAAACAGAGAACCAAATAACTCTGGAGACAGTAGAGGAGACAGAAGGGGGCATTAGATCAGCTGTGAAAAAGAGTCAAGACTGGAAAAAATGAGAACTAAATGAAGTTACAACAGTGAAGGGAAAAGAAAGAGAGACACATATGAAAGGCATGTCAGAGATGAAACAGATAAGGTGACCAATTTGATGTGCAGGAGGGAGAAAGGTGATTAAACAACAGGAACAGGAAATGAAATGTGGGTGTCTCTCCTGGGGGACCAGACGAACGGCCATGTTTAGCAGGCTGATGGTGTGAGGAATGAAACAGTGATAGTGCAGGAAACCAGGAGTGTAAGGATGTGTATGAGATGGATCAGGAAGAAGGTGGAGCACCAGAGAAAGTGGAGACCAAGAGGAAAGACCTATGGAATACCAAGTGAAATGAAGAGGAGGGAGACTAAAAGAGGAGTGAGAGAAGTGAGAAGAGAGCCAGCTTCCACGAGGTGTGGTCAGGGTCAACTACAGTGAGAAGTGAGCCAAGAGCAGCTGACTGGTGCTGGGATTATCAGCGCCCCTGACAAGCCACGTAAGTAGCTGGTGTGTGCATGCGGGCTAAGTCACTTCAGTAGTGTTCGACTCTTTGTGACCCCATGGACTGTAGCCCATGAGGCTCCTCCGTCCATGGGATTCTCCAGGCAAGAATACTGGAATGGGTTGCACTTCTCTAGGGTATCTTCCCGACCCAGGGATCGAACCCGCATCTCTTACATCTCCTACATTGTCAGGCAGGTTCTTTACCACTAGGGCCACCTGGAAAGCCCTGGGGTGGAAGCAAAATTGCAGTGGGAGGTAAGGAAGTAAGAGAAGTTTAAGTACCCCCTACGTTTTCAAGAAATGTGTGGTAAAGGAGGGGAGGGGAGGAGAAAAGGTTAAGAAAATGTTTTTGGAGAATGAGAGACTTAAGCAGAAGGAACCAGTAGAAGAGAGAGAAGCTATAAGGTCTTGTGGTCTTAGAATTACATTGCAAAACAAAAACCTATTATTAAAATAACTGGCCCATTTTCATCTTTGATAATGATATCAGGAGTGCATGGTCAATCAATTTTGGATTCCTCAACATATACAAAGGAGAGCCTTTATTCAGTTTTTTGGCAAGATGATTTAGGGGTAATAAAACAAACTCACACTCATTTTTTCCTCAGTTTGTAATGACCTTGTTTACACTGTAATCAGTACCTGGGATATCCTAATTCTTTCTCAACATGAGCAAGTAGTTTGAGGATCAGCAAAGTAATCAGTGTTCAGTTTAAATTGTTACTATGGCAAAGATGGAGAACTCCAGAACCTGCTTGAATTGGATTGCAGCAATGGAATAGATGTAACAGTAACTAACTTCTGCCTCACCATTTTGGATGAGGTAGTGGTTTCTCCTCCAAAAACATCCAATAAACAAAGAAACTTAATTCCCTAGGCCAGACAGATCCAGTCTGTAATTCATGGATAGTTTAACTTTCTATGGAAAATTTACACCAACAGAAGTTATATTAAGAATACCTTTTTGATGCCAGAGGTGGGGTAAGGGGTGGGGGATGGGTGAAATGGGTAAAGGTGGGATCAAAAGGCACAAATTTCCAGTTGTAAAATAAATAAGTCATGAGGATGTAATGGACAGTGACCACAGTTGGAATACTCTATTAATGTTTGAAAGTTGCTAAGAGAATAGATCTTAAAAGTTCTCATCACAAGAAGCAAAATTTTATAATGATGTATGGGGACAGATGTTAACTAAATTTACTGTGGTGATCATTTCACAATATATAAAAATATATGTTTAAAAAATGCCTCACAGCTGCGAATACAAAGCTGTGGCTTTACTTAAAATGTGATTTGCATTAAAGAGTACTGATTTTTATAACTATAAGCTCTAGAGAGGCTATATTTTATTTAGTAAAAATAAACAAGACAGAAATGATAGTGAAGGTTTGAAAAGTACACATCTCTACTTTTAAATTAATTAAAACTTTAAAACACATAGGCAAAACAACTTTAAGAGAGTAGTTGATAAAAAAAACTTATAAAAGAACATGAAACAAAAGTTTAGTTTTATAAAATTACAGAACAACTTTACCTTAATTTTATCAATATAATTAGCTTCTTTGTGATTAAACACTTTGTGGGCTCCATTTTGCAAAACAATCTTTTGTCCTTCCTCAGTACTAGCTGTGCCCAAAACCTTTAAGCCATAAGCTCTTGCAATTTGGCATGCTGCAATTCCAACCTTAAAAAAAAAAAATAAAGCCCAGTAGTTTCAGGTACTTTGCATCTCTGCAAATGTTTATTAAATACATACAATTAACGTGATGTTCTTCTAGGTTCTAGACTATTGCTAATAAATGTTGAGTCTAAACAAAGAAATAAGAAACACTGTGCAAAATGTTCACTTAGCATCTGCTTTGTGTAGAAGATACAGAGTTTAAAGATGGTCAAAATATGCTCAGTGACTTCACACTTTAACAGTACACATAAAATACTACATAACAACAGTAAGTCATCTACCACTTACATAGAAGAGACAGGTATGTGCATGGGCAAATTCACATTCATGAATATGATACACATTTGTTATTTACTATGTGCAAGATATATGATAGAGTGCCTGAAGAACTATGGATGGAGGTTCGTGACATTTTACAGGAGGCAGTGATCAAGCTCGTCCCCAAGAAAAAGAAATTCAAAAATGCAAAATGGTTGTCTGAGGAAGCCTTACAAATAGCTGTGAAAAGAAGAGAAATGAAAGGCAAAGGAGAAAAGGAAAGATATACCCATTTGAAGGCAGAGTTCCAAAGAATAGCAAGGAGAGATAAGAAAGCCTTCCTCAGAAATCAATGCAAAGAAATAGAAGAAAACAATAGAATGGGAAAGACTAGAGATCTCTTCAAGAAAATTAGAGACACTAAGAGAACTTTTCATGCAAAGATGGGCACAATTAAGGACAGAAATGGTAGGGACCTAACAGAAGCAGAAGATATTAAGAAGAGGTGGCAGGAATACACAGAAGAACCATACAAAAAGGATCTTCACAACCCAGATAACCATGATGGCGTTATCCAGGAGCCAGACATCCTGGAATGTGAAGTCAAGTGGGCCTTAGGAAGCATCACTAAAACAAAGCTAGTGGAGGTGATGGAATTTCAGTTGAGCTATTTCAAATCCTAAAAGATGATGCTATGAAAGTGCTGCACTCAATATACCAGCAAATTTGGAAAATGCAGCAGTGGCCACAGGACTGGAAAAGGTCAGTTTTCATTCTTATCCTTAAGAAATGCAATGCCAAGGAATGTTCAAACTACCGCACAACTGCACTCATCTCACACACTAGCAAAGTAATGCTCAAAATTCTCCAAGCCAGGCTTCAGCAGTACATGAACCGAGAACTTCCATATGTTCAAGCTGGATTTAGAAGGCAGAGGAGCCAGAGATCAAATTGCCACCATCCACTGGATCATCAAAAAAGCAAGAGAATACCAGAAAAATATCTGCTTTATTGATTACACCAAAGCCTTTGACTGTGTAGGTCACAACAAACTGTGGAAAATTCTTAAAGAGATGGGAATACCAGACCTGCCTCTTGAGGAAGCTGTATGCAGGTCAAGAAGCAACAGTTAGAACTAGACACGGAACAACAGACCGGTTCCAAATAAGGAAAGGAGTACATCAAGGCTGTATATTGTCACCCTCCTTATTTAACTTATATGCAGAGTACATCATGAGAAATGTCAGGTTGGATGAAGCACAAACTGGAATCAAGATTGCCGGAAGAAACATCAATAACCTCAGATACGCAGATGACACCACCCTGCAGAAAGTGAAGAAGAACTAAAGAACCTCTTGATGAAAGTGAAAGAGAAGAATGAAAAAGTTGACTTAAAACTCAACATTCAGAAAAAGTTCACAGCATCTGGTCCCATCACTTCATGGCAAATAGATGAGGAAACAACGGAAACAGTTACAGACTTTATCTTTTTGGGCTCTAAAATCACTGCAGATGGTGACTGAAGCCATGAAATTAAAAGACACTTGCTCCTTGGAAGAAAAACTATGACCAACCTAGACAGCATTTTAAAAAGCAGAGACATTACTTTGCCAACAAAGGTCTGTCTAGTCAAAGCGATGGTTTTTCCAGTAGTCATGTATAGATGTGAGAGTTGGACTATAAAGAAAGCTGAGCACCGAAGAATTGATGCTTTTGAACTGCGGTGTTGGAGAAGACTCTTGAGAGTCCCTTGGACTGCAAGGAGATCCAACCAGTCCATCCTAAAGGAGATCAGTCCTGAATATTCATTGGAAGGACTGACGCTGAAGCTGAGACTCCAATACTTTGGACACCTGATGCAAAGAGCTGACTCATTGGAAAAGACCCTGATGCTGGGAAAGATTGAGGGCAGGAGGAGAAGGGGACAACAGAGGATGAGATAGTTGGATGGCATCACAGAGTCGATGGACATGAGTTTGAGCAAACTCTGTAGTTGGTGATTGACAGGGAAGCCCGGCATGCTGCAGTTCATGAGGTCGCAAAGAGTCGGATGCAAGTGAACTGACTGAACTGATGTGCAAGATGTGGTTCTTCATGCATAAAACTTATGTTCTAAGAAATGGGGAGATAATAAACACATGAAGAAATAAATAAGTAAAGTAAATTCAGAGAATGAAAAATACTTGAAAAAAAACAGCGTATTGGGTTATAAAGAGAGAACCAGGCCAATTAAGTCATCAGGAAAGGCATTCTGAAGAGATCTGAATGGAGAGAGGGACAAGCACAGTCTGGGACAGGTCTGAGACGCCTGCTGGAGAATGCTGTAGGCTGAATGGACACGGCTATCCTGCTGAAGTGGGAATGAGCTTGGGGCATTCAAACGTCAGAAAGAGGGTCAATGTGGCTTAAGGGCGGGACATGCGGAAGAGAGCAGAAGATGAGGCCAGAGAGGCACAGAAAGGCCAAGGCACACACCGCCTTGGAGGTAAAGACTCTGGATTATATTTAAGAGCCAAGCAGAACTACTGGAGAGTTTAAGCAAGAGAGGGATATGATCTGAATTAGGCTTTTAATAGAATTATATGGGAGGCAAAAAGAAGGTAGGGGGAAATGGGAGCAGGAAGATCAGGACTTCATCAAAGATTGGAGGTGGGAGGTGAGGAATAGAGAAAAATCAAGAATGTCTCCTAGGTCTCAGGTCAGAATAACTGCGTAGATTGACTGTGATGACGAAGATGAGAGAGGATCAAGTTTGTGACAGCATCAAGAATTGACTTTGAACACACTGAATTCACCCAACTGAAGATGCTCAATCATTAGTTGAATATGATAACAGACTTGAAAAGAGTTCAGAATTGGAAACATAAATTTGAGAGTCATCAGTTTATAGATAGTACTTAAAGCCACAGGATTACATAAGATCACTAGAGCACTAGATAAATGTGCTTAGCATAAAGAAGAAATAAAACTATTTTAGGAATATAGATAAAAGCAATCATTTAAATTATAATACTAGGAAACATGTTTGGTCCCATGCCAAATGAATGGTACAGATAAGGGTCAGCCCATACATTTATAACGAGCTTTCTCACACTTGGCACTGTTGGGCCAGGTAATTCTTTGCTGTGGGGACTATGCTGTGCAGTGAAGGGTGCTTAGAAGGAGCACTCCTAGTTTCTGTCCACTGGATGCCAGACACCTTCATCCAGTTGTGACACCACCAAATGTCCCCAAGTGGGAGAAGAGATGGTATGAAATCACCTCTTATTGAAAACCACTGATTTAAAGGAAGATACAATCATTACGGACTGGGCAAGATAGAAGAGAATTGAGATAAAAAAAATGATGGAAACTAATTAAAATTGTAACAGAATCACAAACTCCCAAGCCTGAAGTAAGACCTTAAAGACTGTATGGCATATGGGAGTGAGGAGCCTAAACCCAGTTGGGTTATGCTGAGGATTTGTTTGATTTAACCAAAACAAACACAGGAAACTCACTGTGAGTGTGACAGACATTCAGTTCCATGAAATACCACTACACCATGGGGTTAGCATGGCTGATTTTTGCTATTTTAATTTCCAATTAAAAAAGGGGGGGCCTCTAATAAAACCGTGTTTTAACCTAAGAGATAATGTAAATATTATCTCCTTATTATGCTCTAACTACTTCAAAGGGGCACTCAAGACATATTTTAAAGGAGTTGCTTATTCTATTCTTGTCAACAATTATACTAACAATATTTCTTCAATAGATTATATACCATTATGTGTCAACTATTTTTTCTTCTATTTATTTTGCTGACAATAAAATAGGGCACTCCCTACCAACATATTAGGATGTTGGCTGTGTTCACAAATTCTGCACCATTTTAAATGCACAACATAATCCCAAAGGAATTTGATTTAAATGAGGATAGAAAGTACAAATAGAAGCAAGACAAAACGCAGCACTTTTTCCCCCTGATGGGCAGAGAGGATCAGAAGCGCTTCACACACCAGGTCGCCAGCCTATCCCTGCCAGCCAAGGATTTAACAAACTCAGCCAGCACAGAGAACAGTCTGGATTTTGCCTTTAAAAAAAAAATCATGATGAAGCGACCTGGCTTTTTACAAGAGGGTAAAGGGAATAAAAGAGATTTTCTTTAAACTCGTCTCTCCCCTTCCTACTGAAATCTCTCTTTTTGATACAGAGCACAAGGTTAGCTCTGTGAAAGCCAAGCCAATTTAAATAAATGCATGTTGGACAGATTCTGTACTTATTTAGCATTAAGTTTACTTATTTAGGGCTAAATTTAACCCCCGAACTGCCTCTTCAGTGAGGCTAAACAACAGGAGTTTTTGACAAGGGTATGTGTCATATTTTCTCAAGCCCCAGAAAGACAATCTTGGTGTTTTTTAAGTAAACAGTTTATCTGTGAAATCCTTGAGTTGATCTATTGGAAGTACATAGGAAGCTGGGCCTGAAATCTCGTGATACATCCATGGAAAGTAACAAATATACAGAGGTCTGAATTCTCTGTATTACCTGTCCACTTTTAGAGGTAAATGCATTTTCAGGATGCCTCTCATTATGCCAGGAACAATCTGCCATTAATAGATTACTTCCTTCCATCTCCTCTCTGAAAATACAGTGTCCTGAAAGGGTTAACCTGCTTTCTCATACATCCAGCCCCAGGCCCTGTATTTTAAAAAGGCGAAATCATGTCTCCAAAATTTCTAAAGCCTCTACATGCAGGATAGAGGTCATGTGGATTTCTTGTTAAATTCCAACCTCAGAGCTCTAACTTTTCCTCTAAGCTCCTTGGAGGCAGATTGACAGCCAGTTTCTTGAAGAGCTTTCTGACAGCTCTGTGTTGGGTGATTTCACTGCAGGGCTGGTTTGATAAGTCCTGAGCATTCCCCAACCCCCCCCCCCATTAGCATTTTAAGTTGTGGGTTGTGGTGTGAAGGACACAGCTGTATACTGTGCACCCTGCGAATGTCATCAAAGCGCAGCAGGCGAGCAGGAAGAGAGCTAGAAAGGATGAAGAACTCACAGTGTGGCTTTGCAGTGCTGTCTGGGGCAACAGAGGCAAAGCAAGCTTTAATGAGCCTTAGTTTTCTTATCTAAGGGGATGTGGAATTTATATTAACCTTAAAGAACTGTTTAAAATTCTAAATAAATATTCTTATAACATTCACTTCTTGAAAAGAAAAACAAAAGCCCGTTTATCTCGGTCCATACCCAACACAGGTAGAAAACCTAATGCATACATTTCTGATCAGGTAATCAGGTTGAATTTACTTAACCAAGAAATGCTAAACGAATATGATGGGGAATCACCTTCAGAAGACAGAATCTAAAGTCTCACTACAAAAAGAAAAAGACCATCACCCTTGACTATATTTATACATTTTTTAAAAGCAACTTAAAAAAAATAAATGAAATTTTAAAAAAAAGCAACTTAAAGAAATATAATGTGAAACCCACAAACACAAGCTCTTAAAAAAAAAAAAACTTAAAAGAAAAAAATACTTACTCCTCCACTAGCTCCATGAACCAGAACACTTTCTCCAGGTTTCACACAGGCACTGAAAAAAAAGCACAGGTTCATCACCTTACTTTGGAGCTAATTAAGCTCAGTGTTTGTCATAATTCTTAAGAAAATTCTACCTTCATTTCAACCAACAGTTACCCAAAGAGGAAACTCATCCTGATAGACAACCCGAGATATTCTCCACGCTCCCCAGACTCAAACAATGGTTCTTTAGAGCCACAGATAAAAGAGAACATTCAATTCATTTATTCATTCAACAAATGTCTACTGGGAGTCAATCAGTGTCAGATATTGTTGGGGTGCCAGGATCATGTAATTGTGCTACCTGCTAAGAGGCTTTGTGGATGTGTCAAGGGAAATTGCTTCACCTAGAACTGGAGTCTCCCATTCATTCCCACAGAAAGTGTCTCAGAAAGGGTCATTATAGTTCAGTCTTTTCCATAGTTCAGACTCACACCTGAGTAAACGCAGCAGCTACTGTCTTCCTTCTCCATACCTTTCAACACCTGGCTGCACAGCCTGCAAGCCCTTGTTTCAGAAACCAATGCTGAGTCAGCAATGGGAAGAGAGTAAGAAACAGAACAAATCCTGTCACACAGGTTCCCCTACCACCCCCTAAAATGCCCAGAGCCTCTGGTAAAATGACATATTCTTTTGACTTCTGGTTCACTCATTCCTTTTCTACTACACTGAAAATGAGGAACTTGCAGCAAGACACAGGGATGCTTTATCATTTCACATGGACAGATGCTGACATCACAGGTCAGCAGCAGCTGTGTGGTCCAGGTCTGACTCTCAGCAAGGATCCTTTGTTTACCAGGACAATAGGGGGTGGTCACCCTGTAGAGTGGAGAAGGAAATGGAAACCCACTCCAGTATTCTCACCTGGAAAATCCCATGGACAGAGGAGCCTGGTGGGCTATACAGTCCATGGGGTGGCAAAGGGTCTGACACGACTTAGCGACTAAACCACACCACCCTGTACAGATCTTCTGTTCAATCTGGGAGCGAGAACACAGTCACCCAGAGTCCTGCTCATGGCCGTGTGTCAACAGCTGACAAATGGCAGCTGTGAGTCAGTAAATGAAGTTTCTCCAACATGCTCGCTTGGAGATGGGGTGTTGAGCAAAGTGAGTTAAACTGAGGGTTTGGAGTGATAAACTGAGATAGCTATTACCAAAACACTTTGACATTTTAAAAAGTAAAATACAAAGTTAGGGAATAGGATTACTAATGTTATAATCTGGGTCATGAAATACTTTCAATGATTTTTTTCCAAATCTTATAAACAAAAGTTTCCACACCCTATGTATATTGTCCTAAACCCCTGGGCCTGCAGCAGGTGGAGAAACAGCAGGCTAACTGTCTATTGGGTCTCCATGGCTACCATCCTTCTATCCTTGTGTAGTCACTGTGATAGTTAATTTTAAGTGTCAACTTGGCTGGGACATGGTGCTGGATATGGGTCAAACATTCTGGATATTTCTGTGAAGGTTCTATTTTGGATGAGATTAATGCTTAAGTCAGGAGACTTTGAATAAAGCAGATTATCTTCCATAATAAAGTGGCCTGGCCACTTGAAGGTCTTAATAAAACAAAGACAGACTTCTCCTAGAGCAAGAAGAGATTCTGACAGCAGACTGTCTTTAGACTTGAACTGCTACTCTTCTTAGGCTCTCCAGATTCTAGACTCAGCAAGACTCCATGAATCCACCCATCAATATACACATTCTGTTGGTTCTGCTTCTCTGGAGAACACTAATAGTCCTCTTCCCCTGGGGCCTGTAGCAGGGTTGGAGCAGGGGGCCTGGACTTCCATGCTGCTGTGTTACCCCCTCCTAGTCACTGAAGCCTAGGACCTGGCTCAGAGGTTTCCTTGTTGTTCAGTCGCTAAGTCATGTCCAACTCTTTGTGACCCTACTGTCTGCGACGTGCCAGGCTTCCCTGTCCTTCACTATCTCCTGGAGTTTGCTCAAACTCACATCCATTGAGTCAGTGATGACATCCAACCATCTCATCCTCTGTTTTCCCCTTCTCCTGCCCTCAATCTTTCCCAGCATCAGGCTCTTTTCAAATGAGTCAGCTCTTCCCATCAGGTGGCCAAAATACTGGAGCTTCTGATAGGTTTCTTCTTCCACCCCAAATCCAGCCCCAACCTGAGAGATTTCAACATACATGGGAAGAAAACTCACAATTCCTGAATTCTCCTCCACTTCCACCACTCTCTTCCCACACCTAGTAGTCATCCCTAACCATTCTACCTGAGGAATATCAGACACTAATAACCAATATTGATCTCCTGTTCCGACTCTGCAACCCCACATTCCCTCAAAACTTTTTCTTTGGCTTCACAGAACTTGCTGTCTGCTCCTTTTCTGCCCTCTTGTTGCTCCTGCTGCATTCCCATCAGCCTGGATGCCACGGGACATAACCCCAACTGCTCTCTTTCTCTCCATTTCCTTTGTGCTCTTTCAATTTGCCTCTAATATTCCAGCCCTGGATTAATATTATGGTCTACCTTCCCTGGATAATGTATCCAAATGGCTAAATACCGTAAGAAAAAAATCACATACCATGCATTTTGGTACCACTATAGTTCTGATTCTCAAAAGGTCATTTTGCTTCCTATTTAGTTATGAAAATGAAGCAATCACATATGAGTTCCTTCAATGCCTCACCTCCCTGCCCACAAACTTTCCATTAAGTACACCAATGCTGAAAGGTTGTTGTTGAACCACAAAAGACGCTGGGATCCGTGGCCTCCAGAAGAGAAGAATTCAATCCGGGGCTAGAGATGAGGCTTGATGGCTCGGTGCTTTTGTGTTATAAAGTTTTATTAAAGTATAAAAGAGACAGAGAAAGCTTCTGACATTGACATCAGAAGTGGGCAGAAAGAGTGCCCCCTCACTAGTGTTAGCAATGGAGTTATATACTTTTTAATTAGTTATTACAATGAATCAAAAGAATGTCTGGAGGTCGTAAAGATCTTACTAGACCCACTCCCATAATTTACATTTTAAGATAACAGGATTAGCCAGAGGTTTTTTTTCCAGAAACTGTCCTCAAGCAGCATACATTGTTGTTATATAATCCTTAGTACAGAGTTTAAACTGAGTTGTTTGTTTTGTAACCATCAGTTAGAGGCTTAAAGATAAAAATGTGACTTATGTGACTCAGACCAAGGAATGTAGAGGAAAGAAAAGTTTGTCCTTTCCTCCTTGAGAATTCCAGACCCCTCTCTTCTTGGGGACCCCTGGACTTATCAACCTGCCCTAGGAATTGACTCTCACTGCCTCTTCCAGGTAGCCAATCTCTCTACCTCTGTGCTAAGTCCAAACCTTGCCCAGCACAGGATCTTGTTACATCTGCTACTCTGCCCTCTTCTCCAAGCCTCCCATCTATTTCTGCTAGATCCTTTCTTAGCTATAAAAATGACCAAGCTCTATCCATCTTAAAAAAAAAACACAACCCTTTTGTTCCCACACTCTCTTCAAGTATTTTTCCTACTTCTTCCTGCCTGTCTCCCCACTTTTTAAGAGCAGTCGTCATTCAAGAATCAATTTCCTTTTCCTTTCTCAACCCATTCATTCAAGCTTCGCTCCATCACTCTACTGAAAATGATGTGAGGAAAGCCACCTCTGACCTCCTATCACTAAGCCTGGCTGTTATTTTGTTCCCAAGCAGGCCTCACAGCCGCACTGACAGCTAGGTTCCCTCCTTGGTAGCAATCAACTCCTACCCCTAACCCCACCCACACTAACTGAGCACTTGTTCTGTACTATTCATGTACTAACAGCTTTACAAGCATTACCTCATCTAATTCTCACCACACCCCAAGGTGCTTGCTATTTTTATCTGTATTTTTAAAGTCAGTAAACTACAGCTGAGACAGGAAAGCGACTTGACTAGTAGTAGGTGGAGACAGTAGTAAAACCTAGGCCTTCCTGGCTTCAACACCTAGGAGCTTAAGGGATGTTTGACAGACTCAGTGGCCTCTAGGCTCTCTTGGCCTTGGGTTACACTCCCTCTGCCTCTCTCAGGACTCTGTCCCCTACCTCTGACCACATTCTAAATGTTAATCCTCAGTACAGTTCCAGTCTCCCTCCACTGTTGTTCTCACTCCCTGAGGAATTTCAGTGACCTTCATTTTGTCGGCCCTTACCACACGCTGACAACCCCAGACTGAAAGCTCCAGCCTTCAGGTTTCAGACTCTTTCATCCGACAGGCTGCTGAGCCTGTCCATGATGATGTCTGTCTCAGCTTCACGTCCAAAACTGAGCTCAGTTTCCCTTTGAAACCTTTTCCTCCTTCTCTTTGTCAAGTCAAACATTACCCATTATAAAGCTGCAAGTATTCTTAAGCTCTTTTTCTCCCTCATTCTCCACATGCAAATAGTTACCAAATATTTCTGATTTTACCCCCTAAATAGTTATCCTTTCCTCTCCACCTCTACCATGAGCCTTGCTCTGGCCCTTAAGTATTAATAATGTCCAAAGGGTACTTCTATAAGATTCTCCCATGTCTTTCTCCACTCCTGTCATGACATCCATCCTTCCCATAGCAGATGAGTGATCCTAATAAAACACATATATGACAATATCATTCTCCTGAATAAAACACTACAAGACCTCCAAGTCCTTACAGAACAATATGTGAGTGCTATAATCTAGCTGTTTACAATCTGAGGTGCACCAATTTGATAATGACAGCTAACATTTACTGAGAGACTACTATGTTCCAACCTTATTCTTCACCACTCTTTGCCTTGAAATCTTCTAACAAAAGCAAACTGCTAGAGCTCTTTTTCCCCGATACCATGATGTTTGCTCCCCACACCAGCTCTTCCCATTCTCTAGAATACTCTCCCTACTCCCAGCTACCCTTCCCCAGGATAATGCTCTCTGATGCTTTTCAAATACCTAGGGAATTTGATTAAGCTGTAGATTCTCAGGTATCAGCCATGGAAACTGGCCAGGGGGACTAGGGGCAGAGCCACTGTACTTTAAAGTTGCAGCAGTTAGTTTCTGGAGTTGGATAACGAGATTTTTGAACCATGGCTTTAAAAAAATCTAAGACTTATGCCTTGCCAGGAAGCCTGACCTCATTACCACAGGCATGTCCCTTGTGATCCCGTAAATCCCTATGCACATCTTTACCACTGTCCTTTCCAAATTATATATCAGTATTATTACTCTTACGTCTCTCTCCCTTACTAGACTGTGAGCATCCTGAAGACAAAGATGGGTTTTTGCTGTTCTTGTCTTTTTCTTCAGTGATTAGAACAATCTACCAAATGAGCAGAGTTTCCGCTCCATAAACCTTAACGGTAACTTAATGGGAACCAGTGGGTAGACGGGTGGTAGGAAGCATAAATTATATATTACTTTCCTCCAATTAACATCGCCCTCCTCTGGTGCCGGTTATAAAGCTGACAGTGTGTTATTACCTGTGGAGCAGAGCTCGATAAGCAGTAAAGTATGGGATGCCGATGGCAGCTCCTTGTTTAAAGTCCAGTTTTTCTGGCAGTGTGTAAACAGTGTGATCGGCGGCCAGAGCATACTCAGCATAACCCCCAGAGATCGTCCTGGTAGTGAAAACTCTGTCACCTTTCTGGGGAAAGCAATAAATTAATAAATGCTTCAGGGATTAAAAAGGTTGTCAGCATGGGTGTAACCCTTTAGAATGCAACATTTATAACAAGAAATAAAATGAGTGCTTATATATTGTTGTCTACATCCTAAGGTCTCATAAGAACAACTTCAAAATACAGAACATTTTAAAATGTTTTATTCATGGAAACTAGGAAGAAGAAAAATCAAGGGAAACAGGAAAAATAAGAAAAGAGAGAATGTCCAGAATGGTCTAAAGATTATGATGATAACTTACCTTTACTGACAGCTTGCTGTGCAAGGCACAGCATTAAGTGCCTAATGAGTGTTATCTAATTTGATCTTCACAACAGTCTATGAGGAAAACTTTCATTACCTCCCTTTAGATAATCCCACTTCAAAGATGAGGAAATGGAGGCGTAAATAAGTTCAGTAATTTGCTCAGATCAAGCAGTTAATAAATGGCAGTTAAAATAAATGTTTTTTATCCAATACTGGGGAGAAGAAATAAGTACAATGTAAGGTTTCTTCCAAACACCCGTTCTAAATTCTTTCTGTAGGTTTGTTCCCACATTTCCCTCATTTTTCACGCATGGACCAAAAGGCAGGCAACTCTGCCTGGATCCCAACAACAGAGATGAGCCAGGAAAGTGTCTTGACCTTTTGTAGCACCAGAAACATATAACAAATTCTCCATAAACGCCTGCTGGGTCCTCACTACTGGAAGGCAGATGTGTAACTAGGGGTAAGGAAAGGCACCATGCAAGTACCACAAGCTGGCTCCATGTGACCTGCACACCAAGGAAATTAGACGGCCCAGCACAAGTACCTCTTCTAAATCCTGTTTCTTGAAGAATAAAAAAAGTAAATAGTTCTTGGAATAAGCAAAACATTAAGGCAATAACTCTCAATACACCTAAATTTGCCCTATAATACAACACTATAGGGTGAGGTAGAGACAGAAAAGGTTCCAACGGCACCCAGGGGTCAAAGACAAGCATCACTGCTTAACAATGTTGCCTGCAAATGGTCAAGTATGACTAACATCAGATTAATCCTGTTTTTACAGCTTAAAAACACACTGCACTGACTTCAATATAATTCCAACCTGTTTAAGAATCCACTGAAAAGCAGTACTTTTAGTTCTGTGATGGATATTAATAGCAAGACATTCTCCCTAATCTCAAGCTTCTTAAACTACAGGAAGAGGGAAAAAAGGAGAGAGAGAATTTTAAAGCAAGGCAAATCTGATGAGCCATCAAAGATAGGTATGAGAAAAAGAAAGAACTATTTCGAAGTTGAAGGAATCAAGAACAGCTAGACTGAGAAACTAGTATCTGAGTTAGGTCTTGAAAGATAAGGGGCTTCCCTTGTGGCTCAGCTGGTAAAGAATCTGCCCGCAATGAGGGAGACCTGGGATCGATCCCTGGGTTGGGACAATCCCCTGGAGAAGGGAAAGGCCACCCACTCCAGTATTCTGGCCTGGAGAATTCCATGGACTGTATATTCCATGGGGTGGCAAAGAGTCAGACACAACTGGGCAACTTTTTCACTTTCACTTTCAAAGATAGGACAAGATCTTGAAAACTGGAAGTGGGAAGAGATGCTAGCAATAAAGGAAACAAAGTTAAGTCAGGGAACTGTGATAGGAAGAGGTGCTGAGAAATCACCAGCATGCATTCCCAAGGAATAATAACAGTGTGGAATGTAACAGTTTCGGGAGATAAAAATGAAATGAAAGCTGGAGGGTAAAAGCCCCTGAACCCAAGTTTATAACCTTTGATTCAGTTCTGCCAAATAGAAGAGCCAATACAAACAAAGACACAGAGATGAAAGAGCATGGGACATGCAGGGAAGAACAAACGGTTATTACTAAAGGATAAACTACAGAGTGAGAAGGAATGGGAGATAAGAATGGAAAGCTGGGTAGGAGAAGGAGCACGAAACAGTCTTCTTTTATAATATAAGCATTCCAGCAATACCCTGAAATCTATAAAGAATTGATTCAAGATTTGAAATATAGTGTAAAACAATCTAAATTACATTTTAGAAAATTATTCCTTATAGAGCAAGGATAGATTCGAGGGGCTAGGAGGGAGGGTGGTAAGTTAAGTGTCTGTTATAAAAACCCAGAGAAGGGACTATGTAAGATAACCAGAACTACACTACAGTGGGGAGGAAAAGAGGAGAGAGGAAACAGTCCCAGTAAGGGAGAGCCAAGTGAGGGACAGATAAGCCTCAGACCCCAGATGTCACCAAGACAGTCCCACAAGAGCAGCAGCTCTGTTGGGAGAAAGAGAAGCTCAGTTTTAGACATGAGTAAGAGGTTCCTAGAGTTTGCTGATGTGGGCCCTGCAACACAACTTCCTGTGATGATGTAAATGTTCTCCATCTGCACTGTCCAACAGTGGCCACTAGACACTTGGTTCTATTAAGCAACTGAAGAATGGAATTTTTAATTTGAATGGAATTTGAATTTCCAACAGCCACATGTGGCTAGTGGCCACCAGATTTGGAAAGAACAGGTCCACCTTCTAAGCTAAAGATATCACACTAGATAATGGAAACTGAGGGAGCATATGAGCCCATCCTGAAGAAGGAAGAAAATACAAAAGGCAGAGTCTGCATAGGGTGAGTGGGCGCTGGGTAACACCAAGATGTGAGGAACATCCAGAGAAAAAGAAGCTTGAAAAAGGATGCTCAGAGAGGAATGGGAGGGGGGGGGGGGGCGGGGGAGACCTGGAGAATATAATGTCACAGAAGCTGGAGAAGTTTTCTTTTTTTTTTTTAAGAAAAAGTAAGTGGCTGAGAGTGTCAAATGTCCCAGAGAAGTCAAGACAGATAATGACATAAAAGGACCCATTAGCTTCAGCAATATAGAGGCCATTAGCGACATTAGTAAACATCGTCTCAGTGGAGCAGTGGGGGCAGTCGTCTCAGTCTAGCAGTGGCTAGACTGCCAAAGGCAGAGGAGTAGAAAGCAAAAGGAATTTTCCTGGCTTCCTGGGCCAGACCCTGTTAATCTTCGCTCAGTTCAATTTTGGTAAATGTGCTGCCACAGCTGAGCAGGTCAAGGAATGATGAGGACAGATGCTAGAACATGAATATGATATTTAGGTTTTTTATATCTTTTTGCACATAAATAACAAAAGCTCTGATCATAACTCATAACATCTACATTGACTCAGCCACCTTGGTCTGAATCATAGCTCTAAAAATGTATAGTTGACCTTGCATTTGTTCATCTTTTACTTATTATTCAAAAGAATAATAAGTAAAAAAAAAAAAAGAAAAAATTATGTTGGCTGTGTATTATCAAGAGTTAGGAAACAGTATAATTTCCTTGCTTATTATATTCTTTCCTTAAGTATTTCTGTTAAATCAAAGGATCACAGTTCAATTCTATGGGGATGTGGAGACACAGAAATTACCCAACACTTATTCCCAACAATGCAAACAAGCAAGGTCCCTGGATAAAAGGTGATTTCTTTTTTGACTAGAGGAGTCCCCCAAGTGGCAGAAATTGTGTAACAGGGCCTTTTAAAGACTTAAATACAGATACATTTTAAAGCTATGTCAAAATGTTAAAAAATATACATATTAAGCTAAAATAGAAATAATTATAATGTAATACCTTGAAAGCAGATACACTCTCTCCAACAGCTTCTATTATCCCAGCCACATCAAAGCCAGGAGTATAAGGTAGAGGTGGTTTTATACTGTGAGTGCCAGAGCGAATGTATGTGTCCACTGGGTTTACACCACATGCTTGGACTTTGATGAGAACCTGCAATGACAATGTACTTCAGTTCATACAGAGCAGTTAGGCATTCATTCAGCATTATCATAGGACTGGAGTGGAGTGATCATGGGAGCTACAATAATAGAGGAAAACCCTGCCTTCAATGAGCTCACATTCCAGTTTTAGAAATCACAATATAAATAAAAACATAAGGCAGAATGGTTTACGTGCTATACTAAAAACATCTGGGGGAAAATAGTGGTGGAGATATCTGAGGGGATGTGTGCAGAGACGTCGACGTGCTCATCAAACCTATTTTCTCCTCCTGGACAGGAAAGTAGGAAGAATATTCCTTCCTGGCTCCTTCAGAGTTATAAGCAGTCAAATGGAATGTAAACATAAGTGGCGAAAAATACTTTTGAGACTGACCCACAAAGTCCTTCCTAGGCAATGTACATAGTGTTTCCACCCTTTCTTAGTGACCTCAGAAGACAGGTGTTGAAGGAGGCAGAGCCACACAAGGGAAGAAATACAGGTCCCTACATCACTTTGGAAGAAAACTCTATCCACTGACATTTTAGAATTGTGGAATTTAGCGAATGAGAACCACCGAGATTTTTTTTTAACTTTTCATTTTATACTGGGATATAGTCAATTAACAATATTGTGATAGTTTCAGGTAACCAGCAAAGGGACTCAGTCATACATATACATGTATCCATTCTCCCCCAAACTCCCCTCCCATCCAGGCTGCCAACCACTGAAATTCTGAGGCTACATCTATTATAGAAGCTTCTGCTATCAAAGTATGATAGCCTTATGAGGCCTTATGAAGGAAGTGGTATTTGATTTAGATCTTAAAGGATGAGTAGATATCTTTCAGAATGGAAGAAGGATACTTCAGGTTAAAGGAACAATATGTGCAAAGACAGAAGGAATGAAAAGACCTCTTGAGGAAACCAGATAAAGCTTGTATTGTCGCAGCAGTCTACTGAGAGGAAATGATAAGAAATAAATCTTTGTCAAATCATAACCAAACTGTAAAAACTTTCATAAGGCTTGCTAAAGAAGTTAGACATGGGAGCGATGAAAGGTGCGGTAATAAAAATATATAATTTTTATTGAAAAAGTATATTATTAAAGTCACTGGAAATGATTAAAATCTATATTTAAAATCTCTTGTATGTGAAAAAGCATGTATGCAGAAGAAAATTATTCTCCCCATGCATAAAACAAAGATCATGAAAGATTATAATTGAATAATCATGACTCCATTCAGAAAAATCCAATTACTTCACTACACAGATGATTTTCAACTTATAAATTTTCTTATGTTCTTTCTTTTTATACGTTTACTTCACTAGTTAGAATTATATGTTCTCTTTGTCAGAGCTTATAGGTGTAAACAGTACAGAGAAGTGAAGGTAGCTCAGTCATGTCCGACTCTTTGTGACCTTGTGGACTGTAGCCCACCAGGCTCCTCTGTTCATGGGATTATCCAGGCAAGAATACTGGAGTGGGTTGCCATTCCCTGCTCCAGGGTCTGTACTAAAGCAATATCTTTATAAATCATTATTTCGAACATTAACTTCATGTGCTAGAGACACACTCAGTTTAATTATTGCCTGTTTTTAAGTAATGATTTCCACCTGATGGTCTTTTGGAACTGGTACAGCAACATCCGACTGGAGTTTCAGCACTTCTGGTCCACCAAATTCAAAAACTCTAATAGCTCTCATCAACTTCTGTCCAGTCGCCATGGTGATCTAGATACTAAGAAAAAAAAATAACATATTGTCATATTGTATCTAGGCTATCACTGTGTTTTTCCCCCTGGAGGGGGAAGATCAAACAATTTTTCAAACAACAATTTAAATCATGAGCTTACCACTGATCTCATTTCATGTTTAAGGACCTTTCATCTTACAAATCCTTCAGCTACAAAGCAAAATGCTTCATATTATTTCCTGTAGGGATTCAGTGCTTTCAACAAGGGAATCAAACATACAAACAAAAACATCTGGATAGACGATGCATGATACAATTATCTTAGGTTTCGTTCTGTGTAAGCTTGGGCTATAAAATCTTGGAAATTCTAGGAGCTAATGTAAGTTTTCTTAACATTAGATAAACAGATCTTCTTTTGTTAGATTATATTTCAGATATACAGAGAAATATAAAACATACAATAAACATTTACCTGCTACCCAGCTTTAACAAATCTTACCACTGTAAAAACCTAAAACACTGCATTATAGATAGAACTGAAGCCTCCTCTAACTGTCCCCAAACCCATTTCTGTTCCACAATTCTAGGAGGTGACTATTCCCATAAACCCAAGAGCGCATCCTTCTCAGGCAGGATGTAATTCCACTGCTACATGTATTTGCACTGTTAAACAGTATGTGCTATTGTTATTATTTTGCATGTTTTCAAACTTTATAAATAAAGTTTATAATCATATTGGATCATATTGTACTGAATTCTGCAACTTGCTTTTTCCTCTCAATATTAAGTTTTTGAGATTTATCAACTTTGAAACGTTTAGTTTTATGAAGTTCATTCATTTTAACAAAAAAGAATAAACAGCTAAAAACTGCTTTATGTGTAATCTTCTGTAAATCGTAAGTGTAATTTATAGTTACTCTTTCTCTTCTACCACTGTAAATACTGAAATGAAAACTCAAGAGTTAAAATAAGCTTTGGAAGGTAAAGAACATACATATGTGAGATATATATATATATATATATAATTGGGTAACTGGAAATCTTACATCTATAGAGATGTAATGAAAGGGCTTTGTCTGACCTCCATAATTTTGCTTGTCTGCTATGACAATTTCTTGAAATTAACCACACCAAATATTGCTAAACTCTGCCACCACCAGGAACATCTTTGCTAACTTCTGGAATAATCATATTCACCAATCACGAGCAGCTGAAACATCAAAAAGAGTTGCAGAAACTAAGACTTGAGGTGACAGAATTCATACTTTCACTGTACTGAAGCCCAGCACAAGACTCCTTGGAACAAAGCTCATGCTAACTATAAAATGCCCTTCCATGTGTGGGGGGAATCAAAGCACTTTGATGGTGTCATTAATGGAAAGTTCTTGATATAATTAACCAAAAGTTGTGCCATTTTAAAACCCTTTATTCAAAATGATTTAATATAGTACCTAGTACAGAAGAGAAAATAAACTCTCCATTGCTAAAAGGCTGTTTAGCAATGAAATAGCCTAAAGGGCAGTATTCGTATTTAAAAAGGGGGTGGGATCAGAAGCAGGTGTAAGCCTCACGCACTGCAGAGCAGCAGGGCAGTCTTAGGGTAAGAAGCTTCGTGCAGAACTAGGACTGGGGAACAGGCAGCTCATGTCCTACCTATGCAGCAGTTTCACTCTTGCCTTTCTGTTTGGATCCTCACTCAAGCTGAGTATTTCTTAAAACTTGAAAGCAAAAATATATATAAAGAAAATAAAACAGAAAAAGAAAAGGTTGTACAGACCAGAGTTTTCTACACCGAAAATAAGAACATAGCTCTTTTTTTCTTCTTTTTGTCTTCAGCATGGTGTTGTGAAAAGTGTGGGCTTTGAATCTGACAGCTCTCAGTATGAAACCTAGATCTATCATTTACTACCCATGTGGCCTTGGGCAAGGCAGTCACTTTTTTTGAGCTTCTTCATTTGAAAACTGAGTTCTACTCAGGGTTACTATTCAAGAGCCAGGGCAGGTAGGAAGCACAGAACCCGGCAAATGTTTACTTCTATACATAGTGATATCATGGTTCCTTTCCCCTCTAGTTTCTCCTTTCCAATTTCTTATTCATTAAGATATCTTTGGTTCTATAATCCTATAGTCATCTTTGATTTAACAATATTTATAGGACTGTTGTAAAATCAAGTCCTTAACCTCAAATAGTTCACAGTCCAGAGAACTATTCAAACAAAGCACGAATACCAAACATTGGTTGTTATTCATTCAACATGCATTTTTGAACATTAACTATAAGGGAGGCACTGTGCCAAACTCAGAGCACAGAGGGCAAGCATAACAAGCCCCAGACTCCCCCCGCTCTGCCCTCATCGCTCCTCAATGCACGTGCACGCGCGCACGAACACACACACACACACACACACACCATGTTAAGAGATGTAGCTCTCTTTCCACTTTCAATATCTACTTACTTCCTCCCTATTTATTTCTTTCAAGCTCTCACATCTATCTTCTCACCGACAGACATCCCTAGTACCCTCAAAAAACTGTAGCAATAATAAAAGCAAAATTACCCTGAAATAGGATCTGTCAAAAATACCTAGCACATACATTTTTTTCCTCGAATCTGGACATTTGCTAAGTTGGAAGAAAAGAACAAAGCAAGGAAGAGACTCACCCTTAATCCTGGATTTAGAAGACCCCACCCCCAGCCCAGTCTTGCCCAGTACTACCCCTTAACCTGTGGAGCTCATAAGGAAACAGGGCATGACCTTGAAAACTCTTCTACTTTGCTTTTGGTGGTCTTATTTCCTGCTGAGCCCTTACCACTACGATTGCTCAGGCTCCAATCTGCATTCATTGCCTTTGAACCCCCTCAACTACCTAGAGGATCATCATCTGCTTCATAATACAGGTGCTATGCTAAAAAAAATTGTTAACATAGTAATTATCATTCTTAAATCTTTGTAACACCTGATTTCTTCTAAACAGCACATCTTTCACATCCATTAAAAGAATTTTCACAATAGGTAGAGAAGCAAGTTATTAAAACCACCATTTAATTGTATGTAGAATTGAAAATAAAATCACCATCCTTCTTATAGATGAGGAAACATCTCAGAGGTTGAGATTCACCAGGGTCACACTGAAGCAGAGCTGAAACCCAACACCTTAAATGTTATTGGGCATTTTTTCCCCCTTAACTGTAAAATCCTTTTTATCTCACCCTTTGAAATATTGGCAGAGAAGACCTTTAATTTCTTAAGAGATAGAATTTATAATGATGATAGTGAGACAGACTGAGTTAGAGATATGAAATTCAGCTAACCTGCAGGTAGCATTTCATATTTTATGATTAAGACATCTGCTTTGAGTCTGAAATTTTTGAAATGCCCATAAGTTAAGGGATCTACTAGAGATACACAGAATGTGATTCTTTCAGGAAAACTATAATAACAACAAATAATAATAATAATTTTCCTATCTATAAAATGGGGCCAATGCTCCCTAGCATAGGATCCTTGTGAAGATCAACTGCAGCGCATATGGGGAGTGCTTCAGAGCATGCCTGACAGGCTATAGGTTCTATTATTCAGGGTACATCATTTACAGTCAGCAGCAGGCTTATCACACTGCTTGTGTTTTTTAATTAAAATGTACTTTAGCAGGTTTTTCTGTTTATCAAATATAAACTTTGAATCAGAGCACCCTGGTTTATTGTTCAGTTTTACTTTTTAACCTATGAAATGTTGCCAACCTTATTTTGCAAATGGAGGAAATACAGAATTTAAAATTCTTCCTTCAACACTGATCTTTTTCAAGCTATGCTTGAATCCATTTGGTTTAAATGAAAATTAAAGGGATAGGGAAAAAGTCGGAAATATATTCTCGCATAGAATGAACAGATCGATTCATGAAGCCAAAGCAAAGCCAAATTATTTTCAAAAATTCTTAATTTTCAAGAATTTCTAACAAGGAAAAAAAAAACTTGGAAAGAGAATCAAACATTATAAATGTGCTACAATTGATCAAGAACGACTCACAGTAGCATATTTATTCTTAAGTCAGAAAAAAAATTTTTTTAATTAAAAGCAGCCAAAGAAAAGTCTCTTCTTAGCTGAATGACCTTGTCAGAATACTACTTCATGAGCCTGGCTCTTCGTACCTACTTCTGATTAGGAGGACAGGAGGAGTTGATCAGACAGTTATTCTAAACCCCTGCAGGTGTTTGGAAGAAAAGATTGGGTGGAACCAACTGGTCAGGCTGCTCCTGCGCTGGGGGAGCAGAGCTCCATGTGATTTCCTACTGTTGACCAGGCACTCACGGAGTGTCCCACTGGTTTCAGTGGGAATCACAGAGCCATTTTCCACTAACGCTGTGCTATGCTCAGTCCAGTCGGACTCTTGGGGACCCCATGGGCTGTAGCCCGCCAGGCTCCTCTGTCCATGGAATTTTCCAGGCAAGAATACTGGAACGGGTTGCTATCTCCTCCTCTACGGAAATCTTCCCAAGTGAGGAACCGAACTGCCTCTCTTACCTCTCTTATGTTGGCAGGCGGATTCTTTAGCACTGTGCCACGTGGGATTTCCACTAGTTGCTGACAATCAGTCCAAACTTTAGCCTTTCAATGGTTGAATCATTAACACACCTTCCTTGGTCACTGAGATAAGACTCCTCTAGAAACGTGTACATACCCAACGATGTGCTAAGAGGGAATTTCGTTTTTTGAAGAGTCTCCTAGATGAGGGTCATGGCGGGGCGGAAGGGGTCTACACAATTCTCTCCAAGACGTCATCAAAGCAGGAGGAAAGACCAGAGAGAAGGAGCCCTAGGAAACCCGAAATCGAGTGGCCGCGGGTCACAGCAGCGAGAGGCTGCAGGAATCCAGAGCACAGGCCGAGGGGAACTCTAGTGGGGGCAGGCAGGCAGAGGCTGAGGGGTGGGCTCCCCGCAGTGGGACCCGAAACGCTGACCCTGCCAGTAAGCAAAACCGGGCTCTCGGGACCAGCAAGTCAAACTGCCCTGGTGACCTACGGGTGATTAACTTGCAGCCCCCGGTGCGGAGTAACTTTGGCCACAAACTCCGTATCCCATGGTTCTCGGGGAGGGCGGGATGCAGGAAAGGAAAGCAAACAAAATCCAGCTCGGTTCCTTTTGGACGAGCGCTGGGGAAATCCTCAGCGTGAACTGAGGGACTTTTAAAACCACTTACCCCGTTCTAGAGTGGAAAATCAAAGTTTGCGAGCGTCCCCTGAGATTGCCTGGGAAAAGCGGACGGGCCCGGCAGGCCATAGCAGTTTCAGGCTCCGCCTCGCCCCGCCCCAGGGGCGGGTCCCAGGAAGGAGTTTGGACCTTCCCGGCCACCATTGACTTCAACATGGCTGCCTCCAGGGAAGAACTAGGCTAACGCGAAAACTCCAGACCCTAACTCCTTCGTCGCATGGATCTTAGCGCAGAGTTCAAGAGGTGGAAGGCGCAGTGTCTGGGCAAAGTGGACCTCAGCCGGAAGGGCAGTGTGGACGATGACGTGTTAGAGATTGTGCAGCTCCTAAATGGGCAAGAACAGTTTTTCACCACCAGTTCCTGCGCTGGCCGAATCATCCTCCTAGACGGGGTGAGGACCCTTTGTGCCCTTCCAGTCCTGCCTTGTAGTGTGCACGACGGGAACTCCTACACCCGCCCGATGCAACACCCCAACCCAGCTTGCCTATTTGTCCTTCTGATCGGTGGTCTCGGGCTCTTTAAACTGACAGCGTTACTTAAACCGATGTGTCTAAAATTTTAATGTGTTTATTAATTACTTGGGAGAATTTTTAAAATACATATTCTGATTCTGTACGTCAAGGGTAGGGCGTAATCTGCATTTCTTCAGTTCAGTTCAGTCGCTCAGTCGTGTCGACTCTTTGCGACCCCATGAATCGCCGCACGCCAGGCCTCCCTGTCCATCACCAACTCCCGGAGTGTACTCAGACTCATGCCCATCGAATCGGTGATGCCATCCAGCCATCTCATCTTCTGCCGTCCCCTTCTCCTCTTGCCCCCAATACCTCCCAGCATCAGGGTCTTTTCCACTGAGTCAACTCTTCGCATGAGGTGGCTAAAGTACTGGAGTTTCAGCTTAAGCATCAGTCCTTCCAATGAACACCCAGGACTGATCTCCTTTAGGATGGACTGGTTGGATCTCCTTGCAGTCCAAAGGATTCTCAAGAGTCTTCTCCAGCACAACAGTTCAAAAGCATCAATTTTTCGGGCGCTCAGCTTTGTGCATTTCTTACAAGCCCCCAAATGATGCTGAAACTACTGGCCTGGGAATGATGTTCAGTTGCAAGGGTTAGAGACTTTTATTTTTTTTAACACTAAGGGAATTTTATTTTTTCAATACTAAGGAGATTTGAAGATTTTCTAGTCTGGCGAGGCGGCTCCCTTCTCGTTGACCGCTCTACCAAACCATTGTTAACCATTTGATTGCTGCTCGCTATGGTTAAGGGCCTCCTAGTGGCCCACTCCATTATTACAACTGTGGTAATTTTTACGTTGCTTCAAAAAAGGAAGCCACGAGGGAAGCCCTTGTGTCTCAGCTGGTAGAGAATCCGCCTGCAATGCGGGAGGCCTGGGTTCGTTCCCTGGGTTGGGAAGATCCCCTAGAGAAGGGAAAGGCTTACCCCTCCAGTATTCTGGCCTGGAGAATTCCATGGACTGTATAGTCCACGGGGTCGCAAAGCCTTGGACACAACTTTGAAACTTTAGCACCCTGCCTGGCATATTAAGTGCACTATAAGTTAGCTGTGTGTTCACTTTAACATTAAGATTGAATTCAGAGCTTGCAAGACATCATGCTTGTAAATTCATTCTTTAGCTCTCTCACTGACAGGTCATGTGAATGTCTCCCAGGTTAGCAGGGTGTATTCATTCTTATTTTGCTTCCATTGCTTGGCTTGCTTTCTCTCTCTTCCCTCATTTCTCCTGCCCTGTCTTACCTGAATTTATGCAGTGATTTCCTAACAGGTCACTGAACTACCAGTCTCCCTACCCCAAACCATGTTACACGCTGGTAACAGATTCCCCTTTATAAAGCACAGTTCTATATGTGTCACTCATCTATGCTGACATACTTTGTGCTTTGCTGTGCTTAGTCACCCAGTCGTGTCCAACTCTTTGCAACCCCATGGACTGTAGCCCGGCCAGGCTTCTCTGTCCATGGGGATTCTCCAGGCACGAATACTGGAGTAGGTTGCCATGCCCTCCTCCAGGGGATCTTCCCAACCCAGGGATGGAACCCAGGTCTCCTGCACTGCAGGTGGATTCTTTAGCATCTGAGCCACCAGGGAAGCCCTAGTGAAATACTCTTAATACACTTCTCAGCTGTTTTTTCCTCTGTGACTCTTACTCTTATTCTGGTCACTGAAACGGAACTGTTCTCTTTTTCCTCTTACATTGACCTGCCTTTGTTCATCTTTATTTTTCCTGAAATGTTTATCCCCACCTTTGCATATCTGAGACATACTTCCCCAAACTCCCCTTTCCTCCCTGAGCACACACACACACATCCACTTGGAAGCAATGACTACTTCTTCTGAACTACCTTTGGGACTTTTTCCTGAACATCTTTTCATTTTATGTATTACCTTATACCTTGTATTTATTTTCACTTTGCTTTATTTCTGGAAGAATTTGGATCAAATTACAAGTAGGCAATACAAGAAGGAAAATAAAAAGTGAGAAAATCTGGATAAAAGGAGTATAGATAAGATGAAGCAGAAATGGCATTAGTTCTCAAAATATACCACAAGACTGTTAATTTGCTAGAGGTGGGTCACACATTTGGTTGTAAGATTTAGGGCAGCCAGCATTAGATCAGAAACATCAGTCCCTGACTGAGGTCATTCAATGAAAACAGATCAGTTATTTGGACAAGCACAACTCTTCTCCATTCCAAAGCCAGATGGCAAAGTCTCCTGTATACCTAATGTATAAAAGTCACCTTGTGGAAGTATGGTGATTGATTTATTTTCATGAAACACAGCATGGTTATATTTTAATACACAACCAAAATATAAAACATCATAGTAAATTGACAGTAAAATGCGGTATTTCATTTTCATTGCCTGACAAATGGTTAACCTCCTTAGTCATAAATGAACTCTTAGAAACCAGTAACAAAGACATTGATAAACCAAGACAAATGAAAAAAAAAAAGAAGAAAATGAAATAACACAAGTGACTAGTAAGGATTAAGCATAAGAAGATGACTGAGCTGAACAGTAGCAAACGAAAAGCAATTTCTTTATAATAGCATATTTGGGTCTGACCTGGGTCTTCTGCATTGCAGGCGGATTCTTTACCATCTGAGCTACCAGGGAAGCCCAATATTAACATTCGTACAGTTTTAGGGAACATACCCACATAAACACTGGGGGCCAAGATTGCTGACATCCCCTCTGTATAGTAGGGTTAAACTCTATTATAGTTTAGACTCAAAACTATAAACTTTGGATACCTTTGGTCCTAGCAGTTCCAATTTGTTGGAATTATTTCAATAAGTTAGTTGGATAAATTTACAGTTTATACATAAACCATGTTTACTGGATAGAAAGTGCATATGGTTTCCTGTATCATTTCTGAATTGTCCTTGAGGATAGGATCTGTTTATATTTGTTGTTCAGTCGCTCAGTCAAGTCCAACTCTGTGACCCCATGGACTGCGGTAAGCCAGGCTTCCCTGTCCTTCACCATCTCCCAGAGCTTGCTCAAACTCACATCCATTGAGTCAGTAATGCCATCTTACCATCTCATCCTCTGCTGTCCTCTTCTTTTGCCTTCAATGTTTCCCAGCATCAGGGTCTTTTGTAATAAGTCAGTTCTTCACATCAGGTAGCCAAAGTATTGGAGCTTCCGTTTCAGCATCAGTCCTTCCAATGAATATTTAGGACTGACTGCCTTTAGGATTGACTGGTTTGATATCCTTGCTGTCCAAGGGATTCTCAAGAGTCTTCTCCAAAACCACAGCTAGAAAGTATAGTTCTTTGGCACTCAGCCTTCTTTATGGTCCAACTCTCACGTCCATACATGACTACTGGAAAAAGCATAGCTTTGACTCTGTGGACCTTTGTTGGAAAAGTAATGTCTCTGCTTTTTAATATGCTGTCTAGGTTTGTCATAGCTTTCTTCTGTTTATATACAAATTACCTAATAGAACTTGACAAATAAACATCTTTACAGTTAATAAACAAAGAATACTGGTAAAATATCTTCCTTCTTGAAATTCTGAACTTTCAGTCCTAGCTCTGCCCTTTGGTGCCACATATAAAGTCTAATCCGGAGGTCACAAATTTACGCCTATAGTGACTAGGGACATAGAAAGGTATGAACAGATCAAGCATCAGTAAAAAGTGGTAGGTCCTGTGTGGGACTGGAACAGTGCTTTCTTACAAAAGGAATTTTTAAAAATGTTTTTAATGTTCTGCTAATCATATAAAACAGAGTACAACTTAGGGGCTACTAGTGTACAACCCCTTGTAATAATACCTTTTCTCCTAACAAAAACATGACTGTATTTCAGAAAATATTTATTAAGTATTTTTTAATTGTTCTTAGTCATACTTAAAACCACCACTTGGGATTCTTAATTCTAGGAGAAAGCCTAAAATGGGCTTCCCTGATGGCTCAGATGGAAAAGAATTCTCCTGCAGTATGGGAGACCTGGGTTGGATCTCTGGGTTGGCAAGATCTCCTGGAGGAGGGCATGGCAACCTACTCTAGTATTCTTGCCTGGAGAATCCCCATGGACAGAGGAGCCTGGGGTCGCCTAAGGCTTGGACATGACTGAGTGACTAAGAATAGTACAAGCACAAAATATGCTACACATTGTACCTTTTATTTTATAAATATTATGTGGCTAACTTAAATTATGTTATTTTTTCATTTTAGAGTATAAATGGTTCTGAGGTTCAGAAACAAAACTGTTCCTGGCTACTGGTTACACACAAAGCCTGTGTGAAAGATGATGTGGTAAGTTTTTATATATAAATTTAGAAATAAACTTTAATTCACAGTCACTTTAAATATATATGAAAAGAATAGAAAATTCCATTTATGTGCACAATTTTAATGACTGAAGATTACAAGGCCTAAAGAGCATTCATTACAATGGCTATTTTTTTAGTTGTGGGAGACTACTCTCTATGCTGGATTATTTAGTCCCTAAATTAAAATGTTTAGGTGAGTTCATATAAATTCATATTAGTCAGGAGTTTTACATTACTGGCTCAGGTGCTTGAATGTTGTCTTCAGAGTACTCACTCAGTCTCCTCTGGGTACTGATTCTCTCTGTATGTTTGCCCTTCTCTTCTGCTGCAGATAATCTTTGTGGCAGGAAAGATAGCTGCCAGCAATCCCAGCAGAAAAAGATTCACTTTTAAGATCCATGCATTATTTCCAAAGGACTCTGAGTCATCCTGCCTGGTGAGGTATTCTCCACCAAGAAGAGTTATCTTTGCCAGTAGAATAGAATGCTCTCCTTGATCAGACCCAGGCACTTGTTGTCTCTGATAGTATATAGTGGGAGCGACGAGCGACAGGGTCACAACTGACAGTCGCACCAGAATCAAATGATGTGAAGAATGATGTGAGAATGGTGCAGGTCGGTTAGGCAGACAGAAGTAACAGCTGCCTTGTACAGATTCTGTTATTGTTCAGTCACTGAGTCATGTGCGACTCTTTGTGACCCCATGGACTGCAACACACCAGGCTTCCCTGTCCTTCACCATCTCCCAGAGCTTGCTCAAACTCATGTCCATTGAGTCAGTGATGCCATCCAACCATCTGTCATCCCCTTCTCCTGCCTTCAGTCTTTCCAGCATTGGGGTCTTTTCCAGTGAGTCAGTTCCTCCCATCAGGTGGCCAAAGTATTGGAGTTTCAGCTTCAGCATCAGTCCTTCCATTGAATATTCAGGACTGATTTCCTTTCGGATTGACTGGTTTGATCTCCTTGCAGTCCAAGAAACTCTCAAGAGTCTTCTCCAACATCACAGTTCAAAAGCATCAATTCTTTGGAGCTCAGTTTTCTTTATTGGCCAGCTCTCACATCCATATATGACTACTGGCAAAACCATAGCTTTGACTAGACAGACCTTAGTTGGCAAAGTAATGTCTCTGCTTTTTAATATGCTGTCTAGGTTGGTCATAACTTTTCTTCCAAGGAGCAAGCGTCTTTTAACTTCATGGCTGCATTTACCATTCACAGTGATTTTAGAGCCCAAGAAAATAAAGCCTTTCTCTGTTTCTATTGTTCCCCATTTGTATGCCCTTAAGTAATGGGACCTGATGCCATGATCTTTGTTTTTTGAATGTTGCATTTTAAGCCAGCTTTTTCCCTCTCCTCTTTCACCTTCGTTAAGAGGTTCTTTAGTTTTCTTTGCTTTCTGCCATAAGGGTGGTGTCATCTGTATATCTGAGGTTGTTGATATTTCTCCCAGCAATCTTGATTCTAGCTTGTGATTCATCCAGCCCAGCATTTCACATGATGTACTCTGCATATAAGTTAAATAAATAAACATGGTGACAATATACAGCTTGGACATACTCCTTTCCCAATTTTGAACCATTCTGTTGTTCCATGTTCAATTCTGACTGTTGCTTCTTGACCTGCATACAGATTTCTCAGGAGGCAGGTTAGGTGGTCTGGTATTCCCATCTCTAAGAATTTTCCACAGTTTGTTGTGACCCACACAGTCAAAGGGTTTAGCATAGTTAATGAGGCAGAAATAGATGTTTTAATGGAATTCCCTTGCATTTTCTGTGATCCAACAGATGTTGGCAATTTGATCTCTGGTTCCTCTGCCTTTTCTAAATCCAGCTTGAACATCTGGAAGTTCTCGGTTCACATACAGATTCTAGCTGAAGCATAATAATACCTGTGTCTCAATCTTCAATCTAACAACAAAGCATTTAGACAGATCTAGTATAGTCTTTACATTCCATATTCATTTATTAAAAATATAAAGTAATAGTTTACTTGTTTGAGGTATGGTTTGAAAGAATGCCACAGATGGTTTATGAGAGGATTAGAAATCAAGTCTCTTAAAAGAATAAGCAGATTAATGAGTTTTGGAGAAAGAGATCCAAGAAAGCAGTGAAAAGTTACTGTGGAAGAATGATGCAGAATGAGTCTGACAGTCCTTGGAAATATTGAAGGTACATAGGATAAAGGGTCACCAAGGAATAGGACGCTGTATTTGTGTCTGATCCTGGTATTTCCTGTATGTTTAGGTGGTGGCCCTGAGGAGAGCGAGTGGCGATGCCATTTTGAAATTTGAGCCGCTTGTTCTTCATGTGCAATGTCGACAGTTGCAGGATGCACAGATTCTGGTAAAATTTTGTGATTCTACTTGAATTTATAGGGATATGAGTAGATTTAGTGTTGAACTTTAAATCTTCTACCACAATTAATACAATGCTAGTTTAATCAACTAATATAGATTTGAGGTTATATATGTTTCAGCAGTTTGTAGAGCTAAAGTGTTTATCTGGTTAGCCAGATGATCAGAATTTAACAAATTTATTTTCTTACAGCATTCAGTGGCAATAGATTCTGGCTTCAGGAACTCTGGCATAACTGTGGGAAAGAGAGGAAAGATTATGCTGGTAAGGTACCTTTTGGCAAAAAGCAATTCTTTGATCATGAAGGAATCCAGATTATCAAATAACCTTCTACTCAAATCTTCCTGCCATTCCCTGCTCAGAAACCTTCAGTGATTGACTTTTCTGTACAGGGCAAAGTCCAGAGTTCTTAGCTTTACATTTGAGGCCTTGTAATATTCCTCTCCACTTTACTTTTCTGCTTCTCTAGTGCCTCAGATGTTAAAGAATCCACCTGAAATGCAGGAGACCCGGTTTTGATCCCTGGGTTGGGAAGATCCCCTGGAGAAGGAAGTGGGAGCCTACTCCTGTATTCTTGGCTGGAGAATCCCATGGACAGAGGAGCCTGATGGGCAACAGTCCGTGGGATCGCAAAAGAGTTGGTCATGACTGAGCAATTAACACATGCACCACTTACTTTTAATCTGATTCTCTCTGGCCTCCGCATTCTGAATAGTCAAGGCCCAATTTAATCAGCACCATGACATATTGGGAAGAATCACAGATGGGCTCTGAAGTCCTCTACAGGGATCCATCAGGGACTGAACTTTTTCAGCTGTATCAGGGATCTATAAAGTTGCTGCCCTCGGGCCACATCCAGCCCACAGGAGGCCAGTTCCCTATTTGATTAATTGCTGTCTAAGGTTGCTTTCATGCTACAATGGCAGACATCATATGGCCAGCAAAGTTGAAAATATTTACTATCTATCCTTTTGCAGAAAAAGTCTGCCATCCCCTGGACTAGAGGATCTTTAAAGTTCCTTCCAAGTCCCACAGCCTCTCTGAGTCCTTTCCTGGCCAAGCCAGCCCCTAGTGATCTTCGCCCTCTCCTGTAGTAGCTTCTGTTTGTGTTTACTGTTTGGCATGGTGCACATTGTTTGCTTTTGTAGTATTTCAGATTGTCTTCCATTCTAGCTGCCTAGACTTCCCACTTTTCTATCTATTTTTAACAAATAGCCTACTTTCCAAAAAGAGGTGGCTTACAAAAGAAGATCTGTACAGCATGACTAAATGGAAAATCAGAGCTCATGGTACTGATTTGAGCCCCATCTCACTCCCCACTATGTACATCTGGTAGCCTGAGCGAAAAGAGAACCACTCTTCCACCTTTCTCTCCTTTGTCTTCTAGATTAAATTAGTGACAAATCTGCCACATCTACGTCCTCACTCCGGACTTCACCTCTCCCAGCCCTCTTCCACTGCCCCCACCTAAACCCTCTTCATCTCTCACCTCTGTCTTCACAGCAGTCTCCTGCCTGGTCTTCGTCCTCCCCATCTTTTCCTTCAGTCCCTCTAGCCAGTAGTGTCAGAATCCCCTTTTAAAGAAGTCAAGGTCACCTGGTGTTTTCTCTGACTTTCAAAGTGAAGTCGCTCAGTCGTGTCTGACTCCTTGTGACCCCTGTGGACTGTAGCCTACCAGGCTCCTCCATCCATGGGATTCTCCAGCAAGGATACTGGAGTGGGTTGCCATTTCCTTCTCCAGGGATCTTCCCGACCCAGGGATTGAACCCAGGTCTCCCGCATTGCAGGCAGACGCTTTACCGTCTGAGCCACCAGGGAAGCCCTTATATAAATAAGCTATTTTGCATCTACCTTATTTATGCTCATGTTCCACTAGCATACTTCCACTCCAGCCAGATAAAATACTGTTGGTCATTGCCTGAACGTATTATGCTTTTCATGTCCTGTTACTATAGAAAAGTTCTTTCGCTGGCTGAATGCTCCCCTTCTCCCATTTTTACATTTGGTGAAATTATACGTGTGCTTTAAAATCCCATAAAACCACCACCTGGTTCAGTTAGTTGTTCCTCTTCTACTAAATACGTTTCCTTAGTATTCTGTGTATGTGTGTGTGCGCACATGCATTCACGCACGTGCACATTTATGTGTTTCTTCTTAGTACCATGTTGGATTGTGATTCTTTGTTCACTTGGTTTTTTGTTCAGACGGGTTAGCTCTCTTTTATATGGGAACCATGTGTATTCATCCTGTATCTTCATACTTTCCATGGGGCCTGGAAAATTGCAGTAAAAAACTCAGTAAAGGCTCGTTGAATGAATTTTTCTGCCTCATAAGAGTTTCTGTTGTTTCTTAACCTATATCCAGTGTTTGGATTTACTGGGAACATGTTGACTGTTTCCTCAATGGGGTTACTAAGATTGGCAACCCTAAAGCATCAAGAAAGCAGCCACTTTGTGCGATGGAACAGGCCTGGTTTATCTTGTAACCACCCTGTGCAAGCAGTGCTAAGAGGCCCTTCGGCATCCAAGCCATTTTGATTTTCCCTTAAAACTTCTGTTGAGGTTTCATTTATTTTGTTTCTTTAAATAGTGTATTAAAACTTTCTTAGATTTACTGAGATTGATACAATTAAGTTTACTGGACTCTTTGATAATACCTGCTCCTCTGAAAGACAATGTATAAAATGATTTTCTTTACAAATGACTTCATATGGGAAAATCTATTTACTCTCCTTTGATTCAACTGTATTTGACTAAATTGTATCAAAGTGCAAACGTAAGTGCTGTAATGGAGCTAAACTATATATAAAGACAGCCCAGAGTGGACTATTCTTTAGTTATCGTCAGCGTCGCTAGTACACAAGTCACCCAATCTAAATTGTTCCTTGTAGGCTGTCCGGAGCACACATGGCCTAGAAGTTCCATTAAGCCATCAAGGGAAACTGATGGTGACAGAGGAGTATATCAACTTCCTATTAAAGACAGCAAATCAAAAAATGGAAGAAAACAAGAAGAGAATTGAAAGGTATGTTAGTCTTATGTGCCTAGGTCTTCTTTGAAAATATTGATACACATCATCTTCAGTTTATACTCCCAGATGCTTTTATATTTGTAGCCTTATCATGAATAATAAAGACAATGAAAATAATTGATGAGAGTAGGCCAGTGCAGGAGATAAGAGATGCGGGTTTGATCCCTGGGTTGGGAAGATCCCTTGAGAAGGAAATGGCAGCCCACTCCAGTATTCTTGCCTGGGAAACCCCACGGACAGAGGAACCCCATGGGGTACTGGCCACAGGGTTGCCCAGAGTCAGACACAACTGAAGAGACTTAGCACGAATAAAGGCCAAACTGCAGTGGGTACTAAATGGAGCATAAAGGGGAGGAAGCTCCAGGAAGAACAGTAGGACATGTGGCTGCCAGCACCAGGCATTAAGGAGAAACAGTCACTCAGCTGAGAGCAAGGCAGCTACAGGGACGTAATTGATCTAGCCGAATGCAGCCAGGGACACGGTACACTCTGCCTCCGGGATGGGACCTGCTGAAGATTACTTAGACTGTCCTTTTGAGGAGAACAGCCTGGTTAATTTTAATCTGATAAATATTTTATACCTCTGGCTAGATCAGAACCCAGCTCTTGTCATGAATTAGATTTGAATTGGCATAATTGTCCCAGTCAGAAGGATTATGGCTGTCAGTGCACATCTTTGTATTGCTCTTGTTTCTGTTTGATTAATTTTACATTACTCTTTCTCAACTTTTTCCTCAGAATAGAATTTTTGATATAAAGAAGTGACTATTATGCTGCTTTTTATATATGAAGATAAATGCCACTGACCTACCATCAGTAAGATGGTATTTCTGAGTTATTGACGAATTCATCTTGTTGTTATTTATTATTTCCTTTTTGCTTTCTCCCCACCTCTTTGGTCACCTCACAACCAAACACTGCCGAAATCACTCTTGACTCATTCTTCTTTCCCCACGCTTCCTGCCACATTCTTCATTCAGGACCACTGATCTAAGAGTAGAATGTTTCCAGGGTGTCTCTCTGCTAAGCCATTCTCTATATCACCATCAGAATCCTGTCTGTCAAATGAAAAGGAATCCTCTTGCTTAACTCATCTGCTTAACATTCTTTAAAACTCAGCTTCTTTAATACCTTAAAATTCTTTAATACCTAGAATTTTTTATGGAACAGCTAAAGCCAGAAGCCACTCTGGCAGCAGATTAGCATGATGGAAAGATGAAGAATTGGGTTCCAGAGGCAGAACTGAGTTCAAATCCTGCTCCCACCACAACTTACTCGACTCTCTTGGCTTCAGTTTTCTTGTATCTGTCTTAAAGAACAATTTTAGCATATATTAGGCAGCATATATGGAATGACAGGCCCCATCTGTGTCATGGCATGATTCTTAGGATAGCCTTTCTCCTCCTTCACTGACCCATACAGAGAGTAAACCTATAATCACATCAGTGTCACCATCCAGGCTTTTTCAGCCAGGGCTCCTTATTTGAACCATAAAATTAACAAAATTATGCAATTATACTCAGTTCTCCCAGCAGTGCCATATAAATTATACCAGCCAAGATACATGGGAGATAAGTTAATTCATGACATACAGTGGCTGTCTGTGGGCATTAGGGCTTAATTTTTTAGTGGAAACCTGGTTGAGAAAGCCTAAGAGTTTTCCTGATCACAAGGTACTTTGAGCAGAGGTTCTAAATAAAGTGATTTCAAGAAAGTAACTGAAGGTACCCAGCCATTCCACCAGGCTACAGAGTTTGAACTGTACGTAGGTATTTATTGGTGGTTGTTCAGTCACCAAGTCATGTCCACCTCTTTGCGACCCCATGGACTGCAGCATGCCAGGCTGCAGTATTTATTGATACCATCCCAAAAGTTGGCTACATTTGTTAGATGGTATTCTAACTGTGAGACTATTGGTGAAAAAGTAGGAGGTAGGAAATCAGTTTCTCTGTTTTCTTACTTGAATTTCAACAAGATTATAAATATAGCCCAAGATCAACTAACTATACACCTGGTGAAGTTAATTGAGCCACGTTCACCAACTATAAAATCAAATTATGCTTTAAATCCATTGACTCAAAAATATGTTTTGAGATTATAGTGTGCATGCTGCTATCAAGAGTCATGCTCATCATATAAAATCAGTGAAAAATTAAAGAAGGGTAAAAAGTGTCTTAAGATACTGATTAGAAGATTACATGTGAATTCAGAAAGAGGGAACAAATTAGGGAGCTCCTTGGGGAACAGCTGTATATTCAACCAAATGCAGAAAAAGAGCTAGTCTTCTGATGTGGAAAAGAGAAAAATTAAACACTGGAGGTGATGAGTTCTGCAATCAGATGTTGAGTATAAAATTGGTTTGTCATGGGACCAAAGTTTCACAATTCAAACAGCTGTAATAAGAGAAGTTTTAAAAGTCAAAATCCTAATGAGTAGCATTCCAGCAATAAGAAATATTCTTGAAATGTGAAAATCAACTGTTAAGATAATTTTAATAGCAAGAGGTCTGTTTCGTAAAAAACAATTCCCAAGCCCACTTCTTCATGGGAAGAGTAAGATAATTTCATCTATAATGATTTCCAGGTGAAACATGGGAAGTTTGGAGGTTTATTTACCAATTACAAGAGGAGAGCTATCGTTGTAGCTGTTAATAAGAGATCAAGACTGACTTAGATTGGATGAAATTAGCCATGTTTCTCTTCTTACCAACTGTGTAATAAGAAAATAAATGTTAAATAAAATGTAGAATAAAAAATCCAAGTATATTGGCATATAATGTTGATAAAAATTAAGCAAATTAGAGTTAAAAAATTAATTATTTCTAATGGTTGGTTTTTTGTTTTTTACTTTTTTATGGTAAAATATACATAACATAAAATTCACAATTTTAACCATTACACAGTTCATTGGCATCCTTTCCTCAACATCCTTGCCAACACTTGTCTTTTGTTTTGTTTTGATAAGTGCCGTCCTTGCAGGTGTGAGGTGATATCTTATTATGATTTTGATTTGCATTTCCTTGATGATTAATGACATTGAGCATTTCCTTACACCTGTTGGTAAGCATTTGTGTGACATCACTTTGCTACTTTCCTTCCAGTGCTTTTCCTTAGCTTTCTTCTGGGTTTCTCTTGTTATTCTACCTATTGGTTAAATACTATTGTTCTCCAGGATTCCTCCCATGGCCCATTGCTTTAGCTTCCCCAGACACTGGTTGCTTCAGTCATTTCCAACTCTGTGAGACCCTATGGACTGCAACACGCCAGGCCCCTCTGTCCATGGGGATTCTCCAGGCAAGAATATTAGAGTGGGTTGCCATGCCCTTCTCCAGGGGAATCTTCCCAACTCAGGGATTGAACCCACGTCTCTTATGTCTCCTGCATTGGCAGGAGGGTTCTTTACCATTACCGCCACCTGGGGTAGATCTTCCAAATATCTCCCAAGTTCTGGGCCCATATATCTAATAACCTATTGAACATATCTAACCAAATATCCCATCAGCCTTTTCTCAATATCTTATCTTAGTCTCAAGCTCTTTTAACAATTTCCTTGGTTCAGAGTCTTACCATTTGCAAGCATTATTACTGTTTATGCCTCAGTGCAAAGAGAAATGTGAACCATATTGAATTACACTTATTTAATTGCATGTATGTCTTTTTTCCCCACTCTAAGATGGTCACCTTTTAAATAGGACTTACTCCCTCCACACATAGATACCAACCAAACACATATCCATACATACCCACACTTTAAATATCTCTTATCCTAAAACTTTATAGAGTAGAAACCCAATAACTTTATTGAATTAATCATAAATAATAAAGGAACTTAATACATTATAATGAGTTCCCCAAAGGCAAGAACAGTTTCTTATCATTTTCTGAGTGTCTGATAGGAGAACAGTGGTTAATAAATGCTTGCTGAATTTATTTGACAGACTTGTTCTAACAGTAGTGCTACTTAAAAAAAAACAAAAACGGTGCTACTTTTATGGCTTCACAGACTTAAGGTCATTATTCTGGAAGACATGTAAGATGGCTTACCGATGTGGCGACCAGAATAGACTTGCTACACAGTCTAGGTAAGAAGTAGCAGGACTCCAGGTCACAAGGTGAATGGGAATGATACTGCCTAACACGGCAGCAGATAGAAATGAGGGTAGAGGAGAAGGAGGAGCCAAGCCTTATTTTTTAAAATGGAAACAAAGCTGGTAAATAAATAACTCACACAATTCTCTATATACTTACGGTCAGAGAAGTAAGTAATATAAAGGGAAAACATCCATTTTTTGGTAGTTTCTCCTTGGATGTCACCTCCCCTCAATTTGTCCTCTCATAATTCCTCTCTGTGCCAGAAGAGAGAGGAATTCACCTCGCCAGCTCCCATTCATCCTTGCAATTCAGCCCAGGCTTTGGTTTTTTTTCCCCCAAGGAGTATTTCTTGATCTTTCTTGGAGCTAAGTGTCCTGTTTTCTCCTATTTTATCTTAGCTTTTTCATGGCACGTTGAATTTATCTTTACAGCTCTGCAGCTCCCATCAAAACCTGAGCTCCCTGAGGGTACAGACCATCTCTTACTTGTTTTTAGCACCTGGCATAGGTTCTGTCACATATATGTTTTTTAATAAAAATGCTAGAGTTTAAAATCAGTTAAAAATCCAAATACATAATATATGAGAATAGTCTTCTTTTGTTTTCTGTGAATAATAGAAGCCTAAGGGTGTGAGGGCTTCCCCAGTGGCTCAGGGTTAAAGAATCACGTGAAACACAGGAGAAGCGAATTCAGTCCCTGGGTTGGGAAGATCCCCTGGCAACCCACTCCAGTCCTCTTGCCTGGAGAATCCCGTGGCCTTGCGGGCTACAGTCCATAGCATTACACAGTAAGACACAACTGAAGCGACTTTACACACATGCACGCATGCAAAAGGATATGAAGTTGTGCTTAATATTTCATTAATTTTATGTTCCTATTTCAGAAGTGAGAAATACCAGCTTT